CAGCTTTTATTTGCACAATGTCCTTTAACAAAACTCTATTGGTAGATTTTAATAGTTTCTGTTGTGCCTTATAATCTTTCTATTGAAAAAAATCAGAATAACTCATATTTTTTTTTTAGGTGTACATTTCCTTTATTAGTTGCCCCTACTGCATTAGCAAAATCTTCAAAATCATAGGTTTTCTTTTGATGTTTTAAAGATAGTTCCACTTGATGGTGAAAACTATCGGCTGACATAAATGTGTGTCTTGCTTCAAAATAATTAAAAATAATTTCTTGGGCACAAATATCACTTGAGTTAACTATGTATACTAAAAATGACAATAAACACCAGTTCTTATTTTGACTGCTGCAGTTATCTAGCCAAATTGTCAACTTTTGGGCATCGCGATAGTATAGGAAAAATGAAAAAAATTTACTGACCAGGTCTTCTTTTTTTCGTCCACTAATACCTTCATGCCATATGCATGCAAATGGAAAAAAATGAATATTTCCCCCGATAGGCATAAAATTTTCATTGTAAGCAACTATTCTTTTAGTAAATAAAACTTTTTTAAATGTATCTACACGTGGTAACATAATAACTTTTTGGAGATCTACTGTAACATAAATAGATTTTTTATTGAGTTCTTTTTTAGCGTGCTCTTGATACAGAGCTCTTGCAATATCGGTTTTTTTTTTTATGTACAGAGTAAGTTTGGAAAACTTCACAACCATCAACTAAATTATCTTTTGCGTGTTCATAAATTTTTAAACTTTCACATTCCTTACACTCTTCATTTCTAAGCACAGTAAACGATATATTTTTTTTTTTATAAATTTGATTTCTATAATAATCATATGAAATCGTATATTGAGGTTCAGGATATTTTTCTAAAAAAAAGTTGATGCATTAGCGTAACTGTTATGTCACTCGGTAAGTACCGAATATTTAAAGCGTGCTCACGCCTATAGTGTGATATAGTCGGATTAAATGACTCTATATGGTCATCTATTAAATGTTTGTATAAATATTTTTTAGTTGATTTAATGCCACGAAAATCATCAAAAGCCTCTAATTGATCATTGAAATAATGTCTTAATGTATCGAGAACTCTATCATTTGTTTTTTTAAAGCCTAAGGTGGTTAAAAAAAATGGTTTGCATACTTGTATTTTAATACCTCGGTCATCATTTACATATAATTTTAAACTATTTTTACGGTTACCTAGTCGATAGTGTATTTTTACGTGTTTTAACGTCAACGCATTGACACGTACTTAATATGAAAACCCTAAGTTCTTTCCAAGTCATATTCCAATATTGAAAGTTCACATCAGATCGTCTGTCTTCTGTAATTTTTTCAAAGCACTTTTTTGTACAATTGTCTTTATCACAGCATGGTAACACCTTATATTGATCTTTTTTTAAGTCAAAATTTATTTTTTTTTTGTATTTCTACATTTTTTAAATATTTTTTCTTTTTTCCTTTTTCTTTTTTCTTCTTCTTTCCTAAGTTCTCCGGATTTTGTGAAAAACTCGACATCGTTATTAATCTCAATTATACCATCATCAATATAAATAGGTAATTCAGATATATCCATTATAGATTTATTATTATCTGAAAATTAGAGAAACCTAATTCTTTATTTTTCGAATGAAAAACTAAACATAATATTATATATTATATAGTTATAATTTTAGTATTTTATCTCGATTAATTTCTTCAATTCAAACCTGTGGCGGATCTAGGATTTTATCATGGGAGGGGGGGGGGTATAAAATATTTTCATACATAATATTTATAGGTGTAATAAGCTTTATTTTACTAAATTTACAAAACAAAATTTAATTTTCTTGATAACTGTGTCATTACTCTGGCTGTATTCCGGGTCATGATATAAATACGAGGTGTATATCTGTAATCTGATATGAAGTTAGATACTAATGTATACTAGTGTATCCTTCTTGGTTACGAAATAATAAAAGAATAGTTTTTATTTAATTTGTGCATGCAAAAATTGAATTGGTTGCAAAAAAATTTTTTTAACTCTTGGTCCATGCCCTCCCATATCCAGATCCCCTCCGATCCATCCCCCATATCCACTCCCGTAGATCCGCTACTGCCTCCAACTAATAAATCTATTTCTGCAGTTATAGCTGTGGTTGTTGATTTTGATGAACCATGAATAACACTTATGTTTGGGTCATACTCATACACAATATTTTCTGTATCCATTGCAAAAATAAAAACTGTACATAAAGATATTCACGACTCAGTATTATCGATAACTGAACGAAATATAATTTGTGTGCGATATACGTTGGGATGTCAAAAAAACATCGATGTTTTAAGCTAAAAAATAGATGTTCAACATCGATGGTTAAGTTTTGATATTTTGCATCGATGTCTCATGTTTACCGATGTTTTAATTTCGATGTTTACTTTATCTCCGATGTTCAATGATAATATACAAAATATTTTTAAAATTTTTCTTTTTCAAACAATAAAAATATATATAAGTATAATTATAATTTAATATTTACTTGGTTAATAAAACAAGTCAGGATGACTGTATCTTGATCTTAATTCATAATAATATAGTTTATCGCTAGAAAAATAATATAATATATAGTCTTGTATTTAAGTCATACCTAATTATCAAAATAATATAAAATGTTTCCCAAAAATAAATAAATGAAACCGGTAATGTGGAAAATCGGCATTAAAATTTGCTTTTTAAAATAAAAAAAAAAATTAAATAAATTAAAATAAAATAAATTTAAATTTATTTTATTTATAATTTATTTTTTCTTTATTTATTTTTTTAAAATTTGACTTTTTTAAACAACTTGGCCGATAGATATTGGTTTCAATATGAATGACAACATTGGTTTTCATTTAAAATTTTTAAAAAGTATATATATTAAATATACGGCTTTATGGCAATCAGTTTCCTAAACGTAAATATAGATTATGTGGAAGTGCTAATCAAAAACGCCACATTTGAAATAAAACATACGGTAATCTTTCTAAGCAAACTGTGGTTACGGCGTTTTTGCTAAGCACTGATTATATTTTATTACAATTGCGGCAATATTGTTTTCTTATAAACACATATTTCTGGATAAATAATATCATATTTACGGAATTGTACAACTATAATAATAAAACGTAATATAGTGTATCTCATTTTTTTTTTCGATTTACGGCCTTTTTTCTTAGGACGCCAATACTGACCAAATTTCATACTCATAAATTCAACGGTTCCGGCTTAGCGGTTTTTTCTATTTTTACACTTTTCAACCCTTTAAAATCAAAATTTAGGGGTTGAAATTCAAAAAATAAAGTTTAAGACAATATTTATTTGTTTTACAGAGTATGTAAACTTAATTTTAAAAAATCAGAACAAAAAAAAAGTTTTAAATTTTTATCTCTTTTACCCTTTTTAACCACCTTAGGGATTGAATTTCCAAAAATCCTTTCTTAGCGCACTCCTACATCATAATAGCTATCTGTATGCTAAATTTCAGCCCGATCCGTTTAATAGTTTAACTATGCGTTGATTACACAGTCGGTGAGCTTACTGTTTTACATATACAGAAGAAGAAGATTAAGATTATTCAACAATCTTAATCAGTGGCGGCGCCAGATATTTTTTATTGGGGGGGGGGGGGGGCGATACAGGGGCAAATTATTTTCTGGTGGGGCATTTATGTATCACTACTCGATCACCCACTAATTTGCTTATATTATATTAAATAATCTCAAAAATAATTAATTAATAAAATTTCTGTTTACCAAAATAGGTATAAGGTATAACCTTAAGTACTTATAATATGTTTTATATAAACTTGTAGATAATAAGGTTATATGACTTATGTTATATAAAATGTGTTATTTGCACATTCATATTTTATGTTTATTGCAATTAAAGAAATAAAGAGAAGAATTTTTAAGTATCTAAATAGCAACATATTGGTATTACCTATTAAAATAAAAATCAATAAATTAAATTTATTATGTTAGCATTACTTATTTTATTTTATTATTATATTATATCTAAATATCAACATATCGTTAGTTATTAGTATTAAATGAATAGGTATAAATAATTACAAATTATTAGGATAGTATTATTTTTTTATTTTTATTAATCACATTAAATTTATCTACAACCATATCTAAATTGCTCAATAATCAATATAAAATGCATTTTATATTAAAATGTTCAACATTAAATTATAGGGGGGGGGGGCAAAGGAGGAGCATTTGATTTTGGGGGGCATTTGCCCATCCTGGCCCCAGTGTAGCGCCGTCCCTGATCTTAATTCATTTAAATTTCAATAGATTAAACAAAATTTAATCTTGCCAGGTTAAATACATTTATATACTTAAGCCCGGCAACGACGGGTAATTCAGCTGGTAATAATAATAAAATAATACCTCGAAATCGCTGTAAAGATTATTATTCGACAACGCAATTTGTATAATTGAGCTAGTCGGTGTTTTCTATACAACTCATAAATAATAATATAGCCATGGAACAATTCATATCTTCTTGCTGATAAATTCACACACAAAAAAAAGGTCAGGGTACAGGTAGATGGAAAGCCGCCGTGCCGTATCATATTTCCCATAATCGGTCGACTGCTATTGTTATTATTATATGAATATATATATCCAAATTACATGTAAAAAATTATTTTTACCGATTTCAACCCTTTAAAATAAAATTTCGAAAAATCCTTTCATAGCGGATGCCTAAGCCATAGTAGCTATCTATATGCCAAATTTCAGTCCAATCCGTCCAATGGTTTGAGCTGTGCGTTGATAGATCAGTCAATCAGCTTACTGTTTTATATATACAGATAACAGATAAAGATAATATATCGTAATATAATATAGTTATATCCATTGAACTATATGATATCACATAATCTGTGATACAACCATTGAACTCTATATGATAACATAATATTATGTGATACAACTTGTACCACAATATAATATTCATCGATAAGAGATAACATAGTTACACGTCATTTACTCTAAATTTTCAGAATCTTTAAATTAACATTTTTTGTTATTAAAAATTATTATTGGTTTGATCAAAAAATTATGAAATCGTAACTCTTAACTTGCAAAAATTTAGTAACTTCATTAGAGAAAAAAATGGGAACTGCAAATAGTACGCCTATTCCCGGTGGAGGAACAGAAGGATATCATATTTTAAAAGTAATAATATATTTTAATTATCAACTCGGTACTATTAATGTAAATAAGTGATTAGTTACTGAGCTGTATGTATTTCAATCATATATTACCTTTTGTTTTTAATGTACATAGGTTCAAGATAATTCACCTGGACAAGCAGCCGGTTTGGAAGCTTTTTTTGATTTTATATTAGCTATTAATACCACAAGACTTGTAAGTTTTAATATACTAAATAACTTTGAGTTTAAAATAATAAATTGCAATTTTTATAAGCTATAAGAACTATAAATCATACAGATATTAATTAATGATTATGACCAAGGTAGTACATTTATATATAAATTTATACACACTATATATATATTTAATGTATGTATATAAATAACTTGAATAATACATGATAAATGTTCTACTAATGATATTTATGGTCTATAATATATTATTAAATAGTTTTGTGGTAGACTTTATTTAATTAGGTATAAGTTTACATCAAATTAAATTCATAATATTTATTATGAATCTATTATTACAATGGTATTTTTATTTATTTTATAACTTTTTTCAAGGATAAAGACAATGATACACTTAAAGAAATGTTAAAGAATGGAGATGGACAAGAACTCATATTAAGTGTTTACAGTAGTAAAACACAAATAGTTAGAGAAGTTAAAATTATACCCAATAGTAGTTGGGGTGGCCAAGGTTTATTGGGTGTAAGCATACGATTTTGTTCCTTTGCTGGGGCCAATGAAAACGTCTGGCATATTCTTGTTAGTAAATAAAATAATAATATGTGTTCAAATTAATTTTTAAAATTTGAAAATGTTCAGGATGTACATCCAAACTCTCCTGCTGACAAAGCTGGGCTTAGATCACATACAGATTATATAATAGGATCTGATTCTATAATGCATGAGAGTGAAGATTTGTTTATGTTAATTGAAGCACATGAAGGAAGACCATTGAAATTATATGTTTATAATGTTGAATTGGATACTTGCAGAGAAGTTTCAATTACACCCGATTCTGCATGGCCTGGTGAAGGAAGGTAATTATACTTTCCAATTGAAGATTAGAATAGCCATTATAATAATAGTTTATTTTTTTATTTTTAAGTTTGGGCTGTGGAATAGGTTATGGGTATCTTCATAGAATACCTGTTAAAAAAATATCACAAAATAAGGATATTCCTGCACCACCTGTTATAAAACCAGCAGTCATTAATAATGTTATGGTAAGCTAAAGAGTGTTTGCATCATCAAAATAATTAACAGTTTAAGTAATGTTTACAATAATTACTTGATATAATTTTTTTATTTGATAAGAAAAACATGACTATTTGTGTTGAATTTTTAAATTATGTTTTAACAAATAATGAAATAAATTAATTTTTTGTTTAGTTCCAATTGATATGTTTACATGCAATATCTACAAGTAATAACATTTGAAATTAAAAATTAAAAAAATATTTACTTTAACTGAATGTTTTGATTTTTATTGATAAAATAGAGCTATTTATTTTCTAATTATTTAAAAAAACCATAATTTTTTCTTTGTAAAATTTCTTTAATCAATTTTATTACAATTTTTTTGTCCAAAAATGTACTTAATTAACTCATAGGTGTGCGTTCAGGGGTTACTGGGTGTGCCCGGAAACCCTGTGAAATATTGTAAATGGTGCCCTACAACTAAGTCCAAGAGTAATGGGCCTGTATTTTGACCGATGTTACTCAAATTAAATGTAATTTATTTTAAATATTTGGTAAAAAATTAATGATATTTCATAATAGAAAAATAAACCTAAATTTTTGAGCAAAAACTTATTATGATAATATAACAGCTTTAATTGACTACAAAAGTACAAATCATAAATAATTTAAGCTATCTGAGAAAAATATACTATTCAAAGAAAACATATAAAATTTCAATATACCACAATATTTAATAAAAAATTAAAGTAATGTTTATTTAATTATTTATATATAATAATTTATTAAACATACTTACACTTTACTAAAACAGGCCTAAAAGTATTGTAGACCCCCCTGAAATACAGGTATACGCACGTCTATGAATGAAACCTCAAACCTAATTAAATTTATAAATTGTAAAATTAAATATTTTTTATATTTATATTATATTTATATTAGGCATCTGCGTCTCAAGTACCTGAAATAATTAATCCACCAGTTTTAACATCTCAACTGCCAATGATCAAACAAGAACTTCCAGTTTGCGATACAAGTTCGCCTGCTATTGAACCAGAAAAAACCCAGGAACTTTTAAGTGAAATCAATCCAAGCACATCTTCGCCATTTATGAACAATACAAACTCTCAAGTACCTGCTTTCACATCAACAGATCAACAAATTCCTCATTTTAACTCTTCTATATCCATCCCACATTTCTCTCCAGAAACAATGACATTTAAAAATCCTTCTGTACCTGCATTCCAAGTAATTAATTCTCAATTTAGTCCAAACCAACAGAGTTCTACTTCAGATTCAATGAAACCTTTTGTATTGACACCACAAGTAACAACCTTACCATCATTTTCATCGCAAGAATCTATCACTGTCTCTACATCTCAAGAGGTATTTGTAACATCTGTATGTTCTTCCCAATCATCTACAACTCAAGAATTGGCCTATCAGTCATCCATCCCGTTTTTACCTCAAAGTAGTGATTCCCAATATCATCCTACCGATATAGGGAGTACAGCTACTACAAGAGATGAACCAAGTTCTAAAGATCTAAGTAATTATTTCACAGTGTTTCAATCTCAAGCCAATTCATCAAATAGTCCAAGTACAATACCAATGTTTTCAGTAAAAAATTTTCCACAGATTTCAACTTTAGCCCAGCCTCTTGGTAAATAATACATACTTCTTTATATTTTTGTTTAAGTTTTATTTTTACTTAATAAACTTAAAAAAAAAATATTACAAATTATTAAACATATTGTTGTAAACATTTTTAATTATGATTGACTGGTAACTGTTAATTATTAATTCTCATTATTTTTCATCAAATTTTACATTTTTCATACAAACACTGTTTCTCAATATAAGAGATCTGTACTAAAAATGTAATCCATTATATACATTGCGCTAAGAAGTAATTAAGACAGTTAAATTCTATAAGTTCTATAAAAACTTAATATTATAAAATTTTAAAATTCCTATGAAGAACAATTTTTATTTTTTTTTTTAGGGAACCATTTTTCAGCAACACCTATATCTCAATCACAGCCACCTCAAGTACAGCCAGGTAAATAAAATTAATGTATGATAGTATTCATGGGTTTAGGGTATTTCAGCATGGCCGTCTGAGTGTTGTCATTTCAGCATAAGTCCATTTTGACATAAAATATAATAAGGGAAAAACAGTGAAAAACAATATTGGGCATATGACCCTCCTTACTAGCCCTATGGGCGATTATTCTTTTCATACAATTTACCATCACTGGATAACACATTGTCTCATCAAGTTTGTTAAGGACACGATGAATTTCTTGCTTGAGTTTGAAGATATTTCGAACTTTGTTCTGGTAAATTTGTAACTTAGTGTATCCTTATAAGAAAAAATCATGCAACCAGTGGTTGTAATTGAGAATGTTTTATGGGGGGGGGGGATCAAATTAAATTTGTATGACAAGCTTGTGGTGGGCAATGCCCTCCACACCTCCTTTAACTAAAGTTATTGAAAGTAAACGTAGAAACAAAACACTAGTACTAAACAACTTTAAATTTTTTATTGGATCAATTAATAAATATCAACTAATTTTATATAGTTACAATTTACATAACTAAGGTATTGTATACTATAATATATAATTTTTTTCACATTTTTATATCTGACAATTTTTTTAAATAAAATTATTACTGTGCTATAGCTTTTAATTTAAGCGTAGTATACAATTGTTTTGAAAAAAACGGGCATCGCCCAATTTTACATAGGTATCTTCAAAATTTTCAGAATGAATTGAAAATCATTCTTCTAGTTGTTGTATAAAAAAGTTCAAGTATAGTATAAATACTGACACTTTGTAGTATTCTTCAATACTTAAATTGAGTTTTGGGTTTGCTCGATTTAATTGTCATTTAGATATTATTTTAGTACTCAAGTCTATATCTATAATTATTGACATCTCCTATTACAAATGTCAAATATAAACATAATTCTTTTCATATAATTCATGTAATAATATACTTTATTTTAGTACACTTATTTTTGCAAGTAAAAATAATTTGTGAAATTCACAATTTAATATATTTTTTAATACAATGATAATATCTTCAACAAGGCTTACTGCTTCTCTTAAATTAATTTTTTATTTTTGTAGCAATTTACACAGTGGTAATCCAAAAGTAAAAACCAACTAGAAAAATATTTTATTATAAAATAAAATAAATTATATTTATTAATTACTATTTACTTGTATAATTACTTAATTTGTAAGGATATAAGAAATTCTGAATCAGTAGCTTTTAATAGTATATTAGCTTCCGTTGCAGTGGAATCATTCCAATTAGAAATATTTTCTAATGATTCAATTACGAATGCAAATAGTTCAATGAAATCTGTTAGCGCATCATAACGCTGCACCCATTGTGTAGCACAAAATCTTTTTAAAGTTTTAACATTAGGATCCTCATTACTATTTTTGATGTTGGTGAACATCAAACAGAACATTTTGATATTTTGGTGTATTTAAGAAAACAGACGTTTACGGATAAATATTTAAAATCTGGTTTTTTTTTTTTTTAAGTTTCGTAATAATTTATACGATTGTATTTGAGCTATTTATAGGTTTATGACGATATATAAATACAGCTCATGAGGGGAGGATTTATTCCCTATACCCCCCTCCGTAATTACTCCCCTGCACACGGCGTCAAGTCGCAAGATCGAAATGGGTAGCTTTGGTCTCCACGCAACTAGATTAGTTTGCCCAGGAACTTCTTGCGTAGCAAAGGGATTGTATCTCTTGAAGTGTAACAAGTTGTAAACCATACAAGAATACCTACTGAGCTCAGTTATTTTCTTTGGTCTTATTTGGACCAAATGGACAAAAAAAAATGTTCGGTTTCATCTTGTCACACTTCAAGAGAAATAATCATTCTGCTGACGAGAAATTCCTGGACAAACTAATTTTATTGCGTGGAAAACAAAGCTACCCATTTTGATCATATGATTCGACACCGTGTGATTTTTTCTTATGGGGATGTATGAAGTCATGAGTTAACCAGAACAAGGTTCGAAATGTCTTGAAACTTAAGCAAGAAATTAATCGTGTCTCAACGAACTTGATGGGACAATGTATGATCGAGTGATAGTACATTTTATGGAAAGAATAATCACCAATATGGCTAGTAGGGAGAGTCATATGCCCGATATTGTTTTTCACTGTTAAACCTTAACTTCTTCCGAAGAGAATGATATATTTGTTATATTTTTTTAAAAGAAATAAATTTAATTTATAGCAGATTTAAATCCTGCGTTCTTTTGGAGACACTTTATACAATAGGTGGGAATTGTTTACCGGATGACATATCGCATACAAATTCTATATAAGCATTACGATTTACACGGTCACTAATATAAAAAACTGTATTAAAAATATGTTCGAGTTGTTATTCATATTAATACGACTAAACACACTTTCTCATCGATAGTAAAAATACAATTTTTACGATTAAAAAGTAATTTTATAAATACAAGTGGTATATAATATTCTATTTATGTAATACAGTACAGGGGTCTTCAAACTTTTTACGCAGCGGGTCACATATTATTTTTTTAAATCTTGCGGGCCGAATTCATTGTAAAAACATATATTATATATAAAAATTCAGTTTTATTCTTACAATTTTTAAAATTAGGTAGGTACATTTAAAATTACAAATTAGTAAATTTAATAATTTAAAAAAATTGCAATTGGACCGTTTTTCTTGAAAAACGCGTTTTTCATCCGAGATTTTACGTTTTTTACTCACCGATATATTGTACAAATATTACGAAGAAAAAGTATGAAATTGAAATTTTTACACATAAAGGAGAATATTGTGCTCGTTTCACAATCGATTACGAACTAACAGACAATAATAATTATATATTGGTAGGTAATTCAATTTATATTATCACATAGCGATAACTTAACTGTTATAATTTTATTGAACGAGAAAATGTAAATGCTAAATTTAAAATGTGATTGCGGGCCGGGGGTTGAAGATCCCTGCTCTAGTATATGGTATATACATTTCATATAGATTTTATACAGGGTGGCCCAAAAATTTTTGATCGCGGACTCGACTTGTACTTTTACACATCAGTTGTTGTTTTTTATTTTTACCAGATATTATCAATACTATTTATTAGGTGTTTTTTTTATTATTATTTATTTAAACATGGTTAGTGTTTAATTCCACTCAAATAATAATAATAATAATCGTATTATATCATGAGTTATGGCGATTGATTTTTTAATTAATTATCACATATTATATTAATTGATTAACACAATTAATATCTTTAGATCTAAAATAGTTGAACATAAAATAGGAAACAAAACAATCCATACAAATATGAACCACCCAAATTCAAATAAAGTATTTAATTGTTTTATATTAGATTTAGTCCTACTGGGGTAACTTTTTTTAAAATTTTAACAATTTTGATGATTAAATTGTTAGTTATTTCTGTAAATACATAAGTGCCTCTTGTTACACACAAATGGAAACTGAATTTTCAGATACTTTATTATCACAAAATAGTTTGTTTTATATAATATATCTGATGTGTCTTTTTTCAGAAAACATATATTCTGATGTATCATCTCAATTTCAACCAGTAAAACCACCTCATCAATTACAACATCAACCAAGTAATTATTAAATGTTAATTTACTTATATTTTTTCTTATTCATAAAACGTTTTTGAAAAAATTTCGTTTTTATTTCATTGAGTTGACTCCTAATTTTTTAATTAAGAACAGGAAACCACTCATTGAGAATTTAATTTTGCTTAACATTTTCACGCTTACTACAAATATCTATTTAAAGGAGTAATGTTGTTAGACAACTCATAGTTTCCATGTGTGAGACCACATTCTTAATGTTGATAAAATATTTAATACTAAAATTTAAAATGAATAAATATAAATATAACACTGTGATGCATTTATCAAGTATAATTAAAATATGTTACAGATATTTATCCAGGAATGCCACTTACAACTCCAATATCTTTACCAGGCATGCCTCCAATAACTGTTAGTGCTACTCTACCTTATTCAGCAATAGAAAGTTTACAAATTGATCAGAAGAAAAATATTCTAAACAATAACAGTTAATTATCTATTATTTAGGTCATTTCTACTTGTTTGAATAAAATTAAAAATTATAATTAGTATAATATATATATATATATATATATATATATATGTGTTAAATACTCAAATGAAACCACGAATTTTATTATAAAAAATGTATTCAATTATTTATTAGTACTAATATTTAAGGTCTTTAAAATAAAACTTATACAGATTTTGGGTCTTTACATTTTGTGTTCATGAAAAATTCTAACATTTTTATAATTGTACTTAAACCCTAAAAAAAATATTTATAAAAAAATATATAAGAAAACAAATTATGAATAATAAAGCTAAAAATTAAGCTGTCTTGGTTTAATTTAAAAATTTTTAATTTAATTTTCAATGCATCCCGTTTTCCAATTTTATACTTCTATAAATTTATTTTCTGGAAAAAAAAATACATTAAGTTTACTCATAATTATTTTATGGTTTAAAATTAAAAACTTCTATACTTATGTTTTTTTGATGAATGACGATCACTACTATCATCATGACGTCGTTTTTCACTTCCTGAAGACTTATGTCTTGAGTGGTTCCCACTGCTACTGTGACGATTGCTATTATTATGATGATTGCTACTACTACTTGATTTATTGTGAGATGATGATTTACTTTTAGATGGACTGTAACAAAAGTAAAAACTATGAAATATACTAAATCCAAAATGACCTAAAATGTCATTAAATAAAGCTATTCACATTAAACACAAGGCTATTCACTCAAATAAATTTTACTTCTGTAATTTGAAATCAAAAAATAAATTAAATCATTAAAATACTTCGAACATGCATATGAAAAATAATAAATATGGTATAACCGAATATCAATCATTGTTCTTGATTATAAGTTTATAAGAGAAGATATTAATTAATTGTAATGTATATTGTTGTTATATATATATATATGTTGTTATTGTTATATATAATACACATTGGTTATCATTAGTTTCAAATATTTATAAAAAATTAACATTTAGAAAATTTGGTCGTTGTAAAAGCAAGGGTAATCCCTTAACTTTTGTCTTTACAATTTTCTGTTATCTAGGCAATTTTTAATACTCAAGACCAATACCAAAAGATAAATTTTACTCAGTTCCTTAATAACTTTTTATTATACTCTTATGACCAATTCAATCATGATTTCTTATCTTAGATATTTAACTAAGCATTTAATTCTTCATTGAGTATATTTATAGAACCTTTTTTATTGTTCAACCTAATTTCTACTATGAAAAATAATAAAATTAAAAAAATAAACTAATAAATCTAACTTATAAAATACTAAGTACACAATTTTTAACTTAAAAACAAAATATGATAAACTACCAAAATTGTACAGACTTCTATTTATATATATGTACATTTAATTAATAAAATACAGCAAAATTATTCATTATTTTCATCAAATATAAACTAGAATAACTAAAAAGAATCAAAATGCCAATTGTAATTCTATAAACTTATTGACAGAACTTCAAAAAATAATACTTTACCTTGAATAGCTGTTAGAATATGATTTGTTTTTTTGACCAATATTTGATTTTGAATATGATATAGAAGATTGTCTAAAATGTATAATATTATCATACTATATTGTCAAAAATTTCTGAATCTATTTAAAATTTTTTTTTATTAAAAAAATATTGTTGTATACAAAAATCAGCAATAATACGAGTTGCTTGAATTTAATCTCAATGATAAATTGGAAAATAATAAATTATTAATTATAAATTCAAAGCTTAAAAAAAAAACTAATGCAGCCTTTGCTGATATAATACAATTAAATCATACTACTATTAGATAAAAAAAATCGATGTGAGGAGACTCATTTACTGGTGAATAGTCTAACGCTTATAGCATTTTTTATATGACTACAAAAAAATATTAAGTAACAAAATATCAAATTACATAAAATTTGTAAATACAAAAATATTGAATCACATTATATGAAATTTTCAAAATTATTTGGTAAGACATTTCACAATTAAAAAAGAAAACATGAAAATCATACTATATTTATAAAATAGTAATATAAGGATTCAGTAAAAATGAAGTTTTTATAATTTTTTTTTTTTTTTTAATGTCTATCCTAAATGGAAATACATGAATTAAATGTTTTTATACATCAATTATGTTCATTGCAGTAGTTTAACTATTATGTTTAAGATTGTTTACTTATATAGTATAATACAAGATTAGTAATACAAATAGTTATTTTATAAAAATATAAATAAAATATTACTCTGAAGATCACTATTATTTAATGTTTGTAGTTTCCAATAAATTTAAATAACTCATTGTATCTTGTAAGTTGAAAGTGGTCCGAGCCAGTGGCATCAAAGACATACTTTTATGGGATGGTTCGCCACTGTATTTAACTTTGTGATAATTAATGTAACATTTTTAATGAAAATAACATAATAGACGATCAAAAAAAGAAAGTTCTGATGGGCAGGACATGCAAAGCGGAGCCAGAATTCTCTACTAAGAATTGTGCTGGAACAGAATTCAGTAGGAAAACGACCCTTAGGAAGATCAAAATTAAGATGGGAAGATATATTTGAGAGGAATTGTAGATGACTTAGAAAGCAGAGCCAACTGGATAGATTTGGTGATGAAGAGATGGTTGGAGAACGGGTTTTGAGACGGGATAGTCCTAGCAGCCGATTAACTTAAGAAAGAAAGAAAAGAAAAGATAACTAATGTGATCATTTACTATAAAACCATGAGACCAATCATTATTTTTCTCTAGTTTAGAGGTTGATAGTGGTAACAATTTGTATACCTTGGTCCAAATAAAATCATACTTAATAATATGTTAAATAAGCTTATTTATATTGATTATCAAAAACTAACTTTTACTAAGAATTAATATTATTACCAATATCTACAATATTCTTTTTTTTGCAATAGTTGACTCATTATTTATTTCTTCTTTGCCTTTCTCCCAACTATTTGGGGTTGGTCTTATTGGAACCCTTATCCTAAACCTCCACTGATTTCCATTTTCTACATCCCCTACACACATATCAACGTCCGTCTTATCATTCTCCATTGTATTATCCAACCAATTTTTTTTTTAGTCTTCTTCTTCCTCTTTTCCCTTCAATGTTCATTTTCATAACAACTCTCACTGCATTTGTTTCCTTTCGTTTTTCGCCCAAACCATCTCAATCTATTTTCTCTCATCTTGTCCACTATAAATGCAACACTAATACTTCCTCTCACATATCCACTTCTTATTCTATATTTTATTATTAATTCATTGAACCATCTAACTATTCTCATCTTTTCAATACTCATACTCTGTTCTATTCTCCTATCAATCACCCAACATTGAACCATATAGCATAGTTGGTCTCACTACAATCTTATACAATTTACCTTTTAGCCTCATTGGAATTCTCTTATCTTAAAAATAGCCCAATGCTTCTCTCCATTTCATCTAACGGTACTTAATTCTATGTTTTACATCAATGCCCAAACCCCAGTTATTTTGTACAAATGAATATTAAAAGTTCTCGACTTCACCTATCACATCACCACTTATTGTCATTAGTCACCTCAAACCCTCAACTTCTTATCTTCCTCCAAAGTCATACTCTATATACTCTTTTATTTCTACTAGTTCTCAATCCCTTTTCATGGGCTAACCTCCACCCATCTAACCTAATATTAATTTCTTCTAGATTTTTTCCTAGCAAAACTATAAAGCCGACTTCTAATGCACACCTATCCCTACGTTAAAATCTTCTGTTACTCCACACTAACTCTTTACACAAGTTCTTGAGCTTTTATACATATTCTGAATCAAATTTATATATATTTTTGGAACCTCCCTTTTTCATTAATACCCACTTTGAAACTTTTCTTGGCATTCTGCCATACACTTTTTCTAAATCTATAAACATACTTTTTTCATCTTTTTCCAAAACTAATCAAATAATTGTCTAACACAAAATAATGGCTCCATTTTATTTTCATAGCATAAAACCAAACTTATTTTTCGATATTGATGTCTTATCTTTTATTCTCTATAATCTTTCCCCACATTTTCATGCTATAACTCATAAACTTTAATTCTCTATAGTTGCCACATTTAATTAGTTGACCTATTTTTTAATTATTAAATTTTAAAATTTGAGTAATTTTAATAAAATTATGAAGTATATGTACATAAACACCAAATTTTTAATTATTTTACCTGTGCTTATCACCACTACTTGATTTTTTATGTGATGAGGAACTTTTAAAACGACTTCCACTACTACTTCCAATTTTCTTTTTTGAGTATTCATCTTGAAACTCATTTCTATCGCGGTCTTCTTCAGCAGCTTCTCTTTCCAAATCTGACCAATCCTTTCCAGATTCATCAGAAGAACCTAATTCTTCTTCTAAAATGTTTAATATTTCCTCACAAATTAATAACAATTAAACCAAATAGATTAAAAAATAATAATATATTACCATCACTGTCAGAATCTTCAGAAGCTTCTGAATATTCAGATCCATCATCATCTGATTCTTCAAATGATTCAACATCAGTTGGCTAGAAAATAAGTAGTTTATATAATTTCAAATATTTGTAAAACAATTCATGGTACTCGTCTAATATGCTACCTACCGTAGTAATTTTTCTTTTATTTCATTTTACTGTGGAAAAGTACATTTGAGTCATTAGGATAAATAACATATTATAACAGTTAAAATTACTTTGTAGCCCTTTCCTTGACTTATTTCCTTGGATGTTGTCGTAAACAACTATTTATTAACATACTTTTATATTTGGAGACGGGTTTTAGCTAACAAGATAAATGGGTATTTTAGGTAGTAAGAATATTTATATTATTTTTGTTATTAGCTAACCGCTCAAAAAGGAATAGTTGTTTTGCGTATAAGTTTTTAAAAGATTAATATTATTATTGTTTTTAATAAACAACGAAAAGCCTTGAGTCTTTTCCTTGTCCTAAATTACTATTGCGTATTACGTTTATTTATCTGTGTATAAATAGGGACATAGTGCCAATACTTATTCAGATACAATGTAGCCAGACTTATGAGTAGATCGATACTGTTAAACTTACAACATTAACTTATCAGGCTACAATTACGTTGTATTTCAGTATTATAATAAAATCACATTTATAACTTAGTGTTTTCTTCATATTAATTCAAACTTCTACCAACGAACGTGTAATTACTGCAACAAAAGGTGACATAGTTGTAAAAATGTTTTGAATCAGTCTTGATCAAACTGGCTCACTACACTTAATAGCCATTGTGATATCTGATCTAACAAGACCCATGATAACTTATTTTTAGATATATTATTATTGTATCTGTGTTGTGTTCACATATGTGTCCTAATCATTGTTAGTTTTTCTTTATTAAAAAAAAAATAAAATAAAATAAACACATTTTTTTAAAACTAAATACACATTTATAATACACAAATAGTATATAATGTATAATAATATATAATGACATTTGATATGGTTAGAAATATTATAAAGTACTTGACAACGATAAATTAATAAATTATTTAGTAATAAATTTTTATTAATATTGTTATATAATCAGTTAATGTTTTTTGGTAGGTATCATTTTATGATAGGTAGTGTATTAGTCGAGTACCCAATTTATAATTTTATTTTGAGACACCTTTACAAAATAGCATAAAATATTTATAAAATCTATTTCCAGTCAATTTTAAACAACCACAAAACTACTGAAATCAAGATTAAAATACAATTATATGTATTTAATTATTAAAAATAAAGCATATAAATAATATTACTGCAAGTAACCTATTAAAATGTGAGAAGACTGCAATATTATGAAATATATAAAAATATATAAAAATTATTAATATATTATTTACAATCAAAAAAATTAATTTTGATTAATTATGAGTTAAATTAAAAGTATCAAATAAACTATCTATCCTTTAAAAATGGCCATAAAAAAAACTAAAATTACAACTACCAAAATACAAGAATTAAAACATTAGATCAGATAGATGGCATTGCTGTATAAATCTTTTAAATTTGAAAACTGATAAATAAAAATATGAGAACTCTCAAAAAAAGATTCTGAATAAAAAAGTTCAAGTTAATAAGTTTAAATGTTCTAAGATAGTAGATACAGAAGTAGAAAAAACATTTCCAACATAGTAATTCTATTTTTTTTTTTTTGGAAATGCTTCCAAATAATTGCTGTCTTGTTGCCATTGCTTTATTTTTTTTATTTTTGAAAATACTACACAATATTCTTCAAATTATATACTGTTTAATGTACCATTGGTTTATTAAATAGATTTTAACTGTCATAAAAAAAAATTATAAAAATGTACCTTTATTTTGCACAAATTAACTTTACCCCATCCTTAATAAGGTAAAAATTGTTAGGGTTTTCAGTTCATATATGTAGGTTTCAAACAGACACTTGGTTTATCTTTAATTTGAATTGTAGCTTAATGTTATAATTATTTATAATATATTTACTTCATATGGTTCATCCTCTTCTTCTTCCTCATCTGCTGCTCCTTCTTCATCATCAGATTCAGGATCAAGGAATGTCCAGCCACCATTTTCAAAGAAACCTTCAGGATCATCAGTAATTGTTTTCATAATTTTAGTCCAATTTAATGACTGAATACCTTCAGAGTATCGAATATCACAAGAACTGTAACAAAAATTGTAAACAATTTATTTCAACAATGCATAAATTATAATTAATTTAATAATATTACAATAAATAATATTTTATAATATTAATAATTTAATAATATTATAATATTGTATGCTGTATCAAATTCAGGGGAAAAACTTGATAAAATAATTCAAAATAATTTTTTTAATGCTCCATTAAAATTACTATACTTTATTTTACTATAAAGCATTAAAATTAAACATAAAAGTAAGTATATATATTTTCTTATAACATACTTTAACCATTCTTTAACATGATCCAACATGTTCATTGGTATAGCGTTAACCATAACAACTTTTTTTTGGTAATCTTTAAAAACAAAAATCATATCAAAGTTTTTTAAATGGAATTGAACTCTTTCAAAATGAACCAATTCAACATCTTCTAAAGTAATTACAAATGGTGGCCATTCAGTAAAATTAACAAGACATCCACTAGTAGGCTGCAGTAGTACTGTACTCCTAAATGGTGCACCAGGAAAACCTAAATCTCTGAATGGAGTATCAAACTCTATTTCTTGTTTTGTCACAGATTCTACCTAAAATGATTCAAAAAATATTAATATAAAATGTAAAAATTATAAACATTTAATTTAATACTTTTTCACAAAAACTTTTGAATGCGGTTTTTAATTTAACACGTAATTCACGTTCAGATTGCTCAGCAGCTAAATCATCTCTATCATGCATATGCTGATGTTTACCAAGATCTGTAGTTATTTCTCCAACTTCTGTATAGAATTGTACATCTAAATGTTTTTTTTTACCAAACATAATAGCATGCTGTCAAAATTAAATTTTAACAAAATTAATTTAAATCTTATAAAATGACATTTGTATTATGTATATTATGGTTCACAATTGTTACTTTTAAATGGAAATGTAACAATATTATCATTTCACCATCACAGGGTTGAAAAAATGCATTTTTAATATTGTTATATAAAATATCAACTTTATCTCCCCTGACCGAGTTATATCTAAATCCATTTGAATGAGCTTCCAAGGTACCTATAATATAAAATATAAACATTTAGTTTGCCATAAAGTAGTTCTATTATTTTTAAATTGTACCAGTCATTCTTTTATTAACAATGTTTGGTCTTATGTACAAGTCCTTTAATTTTGGGTTTCCCTTGTTAACTGATAATACTAAAGAATCTTGCTTAACTAAATCTTCTTTTTCTTTTTCTTCAGCTTCTCGAGTTTTAAATTTTTTTTGAACTTCTTTAATTATACGATATGCATTCACTAAATTTGTAGAAGCTGTAATTTGTTCACCAGGTTCTCTTGTATTTGAGCTCCGATAAGTTCTAAAAAGTATAAAAATATTATATATATCTACAAGAGCTATTTAGAAGAAAGTAAGGAACATATATAAAAAAAACAAGTATAAGAAAAACATTTTATTATATACATGTGAAAGAGGGACTAATATACTACTTTTCTACATAGTCACCATACAAATTCAGGCACTTATGAAAGTGGTATACAAGCTTTGAAAATCCTGTCATAGAACCTGTGCAATCTTCCTTGATGACAATCATGGCAACAGTGTTCTAAAATAAACAAGGTGTTCTTCTTATTGATTTTCTTGAGTATGGTAAAAGTATGAACCCTGAGCGGTACTGTTAAACATTGCAAAACCTTCGGAAAGCTGTCCAAAACAAGCACAGCAGAAAACTGTCATCCAAAATTTTGTTTTTGCATGACAATGCCCAACCATAAGCAAGAACTCTTAAACTCATTCAACTGTGAAGTTTTTCCTCATCTTGCGCCAAGTGATTTTCACTTATTCCAAAAAATAAAGAACTGGGTTGCAACACAGTATTTTGATGATGATGAGGAGCTTTAGGTATGCATCACTAAGTGGCTGAGGTCATGGGCAACAGAATATTATGACACAGGAATCTCAAAGCTTGTATACCGCTATGTTAAGTGCCTGAATTTGTCTGGTGACTATGTAGAAAAGTAGTATATTAGTCCCTCTTTTACATGTATATAATAATATATTTTTCTTGTATTTATTATTTTTTTTATATTCCAAAATTTTCCATACTTTCTGAATATACCTCATACAAATAACATTTTTTTTTTTTTTTTACTTACAATTCTTTAACAAACATTGACTCTGGATTTTGAAAGTAACTTTCACCTCTTGCTAATGCAGCTCCAGGATGGAAAAAGTTAATTCTTAAGTATGTATAATCACCTTCAACACTCTGAGAAATATTTTTAATAGTAAATATATGAAAAGGAACAGGAATACCAAATACTGGAAGTATAACTGTTTCATATTTTTTGTCTAAAAACCAATTTAATATTAAACGTTTATATTAAAATATAGCATAGCGGAATTGTAAATAACCACTAAAGTATACTAAGTTTCAAAAGAGAACATACTGGATAATGACCAGTTTTAGTGGAGCACATATTTATAACCAAGTACTACCAGTTATGACAAGCATGCAAATCACCGGTGATTGTTGTGAAATGGCAGTATTCCAGTGTTAAATATCATAATTATCATTTGAGTCTGTCTGTTTACAAATTACGCGCAATTCTTCGGCCACTAGTTATATGACACAAATATTTATAAACAATTGATTTGAATTCAGTGTATAATTACCGCATACCTTTGGAGGACTTTTTTACATGCTTATCGCCACATTTTGGCGAAAGTAGGAAAAATTGGCCTTTGAGTAAGTCGTTCTGCGTGAAAGCAGTATGTTCTCTCATGAAACCCAGTATAATACCCTAATAGACATTCAAAACTTACCAACATAAATTTTGAGGTCTTTCACATCTCTTTCTTGTGGCATTTGATTACGATATTTATAAGATACATTAGATTTGCGAACTTTTTGAGCTTCCTTGCCACTAGATTGTTCAGCTAAACGTTGTTTGGCAGCTTCATTTAAAGCCACGGCCAATTCTTTTTGATGTAATTTACGTTTTTCTTCACTTGAAGAATCCATCTACAATAAGTTTAAAAAAATAATTAATTACATACACAAAAATAAAATAAAAATTATATACTCTAAGTTTAGACTCAAGGACTGCTGTTCTCTTTCCTCTACTGACAATTGGTTCTTGTTTAGGTTCATTTTCTTTTTCATCATCCTCTTCTTCATCTTCATCATTGTCATTTAAATATATGGCAATGTTTTTAATTTTCTTTTTTGATGGAGTCATTTGAGTAGCTGTGGTATCCTAAAATAAATTGTTTATTAGGTATTATATATATTTTATAAATTATCATTATTAATTAAATTATTTGTAATCCAAACCGGTTTATTTGATAAATTGTAAAATTATCACAACATGTGGTCAAAAAATTAAAAAATACTTAAATACTTTTATTTAGGCACTTAGAACCAATAAAATATCTTAGTATAAAATTACAGATATATTATCTTTAAATTTAATTTGATTAAATAAACTAATTATAATATTTATATCAAGGTTTTCATACGTATTTATATATATATATATTAACAATTTAAATTTTGAATTTAATTTATTTAAAATATGTAAAATACTAACTTCATTAACTAAAACTGTATCTCCAACATATAAAGCATATACTTTGCTTTCTTTATCAGATCCTTCTTTATTTGTTAACCCAGATAAACCAACACTTAAATTATAAACTTGTCCTTTTTTTACAATAGCAGTGGTTTTAGGTGCTATCATAAGAGAACCTTCGCGAAACTCAATACCCATAACAAATCTGAAAAAATTACAATAAATTTATCATAAAACAAATCAAAACTTTTTATAACTTCAATTATTTTAAATAAATTTAAAATATATTATATTTTAAAAATAAATTAAGACATACCCAAAATTTTTAGTTAAAAAGTCTACAAGATTTGGTTTTTCCTTTTTAGCAAATTCTAACCCTGAGTTATAAACGTCACAAAGTTTAGTTCCAGATTTTAATTTTGAAATTAAAAAATCTTGTAAATTGATCAAAAATTCATAATTCGACTGAAAAATAAATCAAAATATTATCCTTTACGCGCTTTTTAATAACAGTATTTACATACTCTTATATCTTCAGTAGGATTAACAAGTATTGTTCGTATAAGGTTTGAACAGTACGATTTATATCGTAATCCCAAACTACATATTATGACTCCAAAATGTAAAATATTTTTATCACTAAAAATAACATGAATATTATAACATAAAAATAATTTTAAAAAGTAAATATTTTATAAATACCTAGTAGCTGAAAATTTTAAACTATAATTTCCCCCGCTTTGAATAATAGGAGGATAACAAAATTCTAGTTGTGATGGATCAACATTAGCTGGCAAATACTTTTTATCTGATATTGCAACTTCTAAGCCTTCAACTAGTTTTGTATGTTTTACTTTCTAAATGTACATAAATATAAATTTTTATTAACTAAAAATTAATAAAAATTGTTAATAAAGAAAAAAATTACTTTATCTGAATCAATTATTTCCATAATTTGTTCTTTAAGATATTTTGTAAACATTTCAACTGAACTTAAACTAGCTTTCTTCATTAATGTTATTTCATTTTCAGCTTTTATACTTAAAATATAACCAATTGCAGAACTTATATCAACCTTTATAAGTTAACAATTGAAACCATTAATATATCAACAACAAAATTAAAATTAATAACTCATACAGTTTCAAAACCTCCTTTGTCAAATTCAGTTTTCCATGCATCCATAAATGTTCCGGGATATTTTTCTTTCCCAAAAATACCAACCACTTTACCATTCTTGCTACTTTTAATGGCTTTTATCAATTTATCAAAGCTATCTTTATCGTTGCCACCCTACCAATTATCATGTTATAAGACAATTAATAAATTAATTTAAATGTAGTAAATAGTGTACTATATATTACTTAAATCAATATTGGTAAATTTAATTTTAACATATTTTTTTTTTTTTTTAAATAAAAATATTAAGCATACTTTTTCTCTTGTGATTAGTTTCACAAACGGACAGTCAGATTCTTTAACATTCTCAGCAGGTTTTAAAAATTCAACTTTTTTTTTACTAGCTACAATATAAATTCCGTCAGCTGTAAATACAGACACAGTGTCTGTTAGTTCATATCCAAATAACCAAATCTAAAAAAGAATTATAAAATACATTCTATAACAATTAAAATTCAAATTGAACAAAATAATAATTATTTGGCATACTGGAGGATAACAATTAATATTATTACTATGTGTTCTCTATGGAATTTTTATCAAAAGCAATCAATATATAAAAAATTAAGCATATAGCTTTTAAGTTATGGCATAATTCTTGTGTAAATATTAAATAATTATCATTACATATTTTTTAATTAATTTAAAGGTAATTATGAACAAAAAAATGTTGAAATAAAAATAAAAACTGTATACGCTTTATTTTTATAAATTTTTATTTTAAACTATATCATAAATAATAAATATATTTTTTAAAGCATTTGATTAACTTATACATTTCCAAAATATTATTGCTAATTACATTAACAAAGTTTGGAAACCATGGTAGATCAAAATAGATGGCAATACATTGTTAAAATTAAATTAAAACTGATTATAGTTAATAGGAATGCAGAGCAATACTCTCTTTCATAGTAAAAAATCAACCATAAAAATAATTTTATACAGACAATGAACAACTTTATTTTCATAAATATTAACATGGTATTAAATTTGTATAAGACTACAAACATCAAGAAAACCCAATTTTCCCATAACACTTTTTTTTCTGAATCAAAAGGATTGTCCACTCTTAACATTAAATCACTCAGTCATTTCTCATACACATCAGTTTAAAACCCTTGGTCTTATCTTCAATAGACTTCTAACCAAGTCAGCTCAATTTAAAGACAAAAAAAAAAAAAATCTCAAAAAATCAAATATCATTAATGTGTACCTTTACAAAATATTATTAGTCTATTTGCTTCTGAGTAATTCTCAATGCTGCATGGTTTGGCACTAGCATAATAATCTACCACAAATTTAATTTCCTAAATATCAACAAAACTGCCTCAATAGCTTAGAAAATATTTAACACTAAAACACAATCCCAATAAAAAAGTAGCCCTTGAAAAATCAACTTGATAATCCTATTAAGAACCTGCAAACACTGGGTCAAGGTTCCTTCTGTAAATAAATCAAACCAATCCTTAAAAAATTCAAGATTCAATCAATTTCAAAGTGCTCAAGCTATAAATATAATTTCTTTTCATAAAAATGTGTTTATTCCATTTACTATATAGATCAAGAATGACCAACCTGCGGCCTGCGAAATTTATTATACATGTACAAAAAAAATTTATTTTTGTCCTAATAAAAAATTCTGGAATGCCCGCATAACACAGAATCCGTATAATTAACAATGTATTACAACAAACTGTTTGATTCTTCAACAAAATCTTTGTTCCCAAGTTTGATGAACCATGTTATGCAAGTAGTCATAAAAACAGTTCTTGGAAGAATTGGATTCAGAATATGGTGATAAAAACAATAATAATTCATTCTGTTTGTTTCAAATACTAATATAATTTTATATGTGGCCCGCAGTATTGTAATGTATTTCCAAAGTTACCCGCAAGATCATTTAGGTTGGCCACCCTTGATGTAGACCATAAATACCAGTCTTCAAAAAAAAAAAATTATTCAACAATATATTCAAGTACATGAAACATTTATATTACCATTTTTCTATACCTAGTTTTTAGGCAAACTTAAATTAAAAACAAAATCACTAAAATTGTAAATACATAGTCAGATTTATTTATCTACCTGTAAAGAAGATGATTTACTATAGATAGTATAGTCATCAACTCCTACAGCACATGTAAATGCATCTAGATTATTTAAGGCTTGTGTATTTTCATCTTTGTTATTCTGAAACAATTATAACAACCAATAAATAATTATAATATACATTAAAAAAATAATTAACTAATAAGTAAATATTGAATCAGAAATTCAGTTGTGTAATACTAGTTAGAATTTCTAAATAAAAACACAAAGCATAAAGGATAGTTTTTTAAATTGAGAAAATCAACATTGTTGTGATTAATAATTGTTATAAAATTAAAAACCAAACACAACTAAATTTGGTAATTATAAATATAATTATAAGTACTTAACTAAAACAACAAATATTAATAAAATACATTGGACATAATTTAGAGAAATATTTATAAGCTTTTATATTAACATAAAAACAAGAAATTTACAATTACAAAATAATAACACAATTTTTCCAAATTTGAAATATTATAGGAAAAATAAAAGCTGTTTCATGCAAATTTCTTTTAAATTGTGTTTCTATTCTATAAAACAATTCTGAGTAAATAAAATTAGCAGTATCTTAAAATGTAATAGAAATAATAAAAAATTACCTTCCAGAAATTGTAAAGATGTTTTATACGCTTATAAAACGTTTCCTTATCTAATGCAACAGACGGCATGTTCAATACACATTCAAAACTACAACTAGTAAATAATTATTTTTGAAATTATATACAAAAATATTAAAAAGAACAAAAGCGTGTTTCTTTTTTAACTAGTTCGTTTCTTTTGGCTTTCCCTCTAAAAACAACTTCACAATATAGGTAATAACCAGAATTTTCATTCGTTCAATAAAATATCAACAACACAATATAACGTTTATCATGTTTGTAGATGTCGCTTACTTCGGATTAAAATGTACAGTGTAGCCATCGTTAGCTGCTGTTTCTTATCATATGCCTAAAAAAAGATAAAAATTCTACTATTTTTACTATATTGTTTAAAACATAGAGTAAGTTATTCTACAGTATAAAATAGTGTTTAACCTTTTTTTAAATTATTTCAAAGTAGTATGAATTTCATAAAAATGAAATCATTAGTGAAACTTGCACAGATTTCGAAAAAAAATGGTCAGCTGCTTCAAATAATTCGACGTCAAATTTCTACATCAAAAAAAAATCAAGAAGTGTGCGTTACAAATGCTGAAATCAATGAACAAGAACCAGTAATATTTTTAAAAAACACTATTGAAAATTAAATCTATTTATTTGTTCTTAATGAAGAGTTTATTTATACCAAATTGTTTTCAAATTTAATTTCAGAAACTAATTTTTATTTTGTTTTTATTACTACTTTTATTTTATAGTTTATTACTTTTATTACAGCTGTTTTAATAATAATATATTTATCATTTTTAGTTATTTTTTTTATGTAATTTATTATAATGATTTTTCTAGAGCAATATTCATAACTTATTTTAAATTACAAGTTCAACAAAATTATGTTCTCAGTTCTATGTATTTATATATATATATATATATATATATATACCTAACCTAGTTTTTCTTGTATTAAAATTTAAATAAGAAAATTTAAATTACAATTCAAGTTATTATCAACAGTGTATTGGTACGTATACTCTGTATACCTGTCTGCGGATTTTCAATTTTTTTGGCTTATACCTAATGTAATATATTTTACGGGTATACACTTCTAAAATAACTCTTAAACCAAATAAAACTTATTTAATAGCTCATTGGAAAAAATTCTTATGAACTATAAAGTTTGAATGAAATATTTATTTGTTGAAGATTATAGTGTACAGTTTACAGTTTAATTACAGTTTAATGTATTTTAAGTTTAATTTATTAAATAATATTTTGAAAAATAAATGTTATTAAATGTTATATAAAGTATGGACTTTCAGCTCATAGTTCATAAATTACCACTAAGCAATGTATAATGCACGACAAATATATATCTTGTGGTTTTGTATTTTCTAGTCTTATTAGAAGTTATAAACATGTAAAGGGTTAATTTAATTTATTCGAGTTTAGCAAGAGAGAAAAATGGTTGAGTGAAGCTAGGACATTTTTTTAGGATTAATATACATATTTTATTAGTGTGTATACTCATAAATATATTTACCAATACACTACTGGTTATTATTGATTAAATTTAACTCAATATATCTATTCGAAATAATTACATGACAATATGAATAAGAATGAAAATTACATTTTAAAAGATTTAAGAAAAATATAATGCTTATTATATATATTTATTAGGAATTAAAATAATTTAAAGTACAAATAAGTATCAATTATCAGTGTGAGGAAGTTTGTATTTGAATATTTTGAGTATTTTCAAAATACTAATTTTAAATCATGTTGAGTAAAGTGTTTTTAATAGCAATTTCTTCATACCGTTTATGTTATCAACACTGATGGAATTATGGGGATATCCCCCTAAATTTTTTAAAATAACCTTCAAAATTATTTTTATTTATACTTTAATGCATAATTTATAATATCAAAGTTTAGCACTTCTAAAATATTATCTCAGTTCTAACTAGGACAGCAGTTCTCAACCTAGGGGCATGTCCCCCAAAGGTGTTGTAATAAAATCTCAAGGGAGACATGAACATTTTTAAAAAACAACAAAATATTAAAACATTATTTTTGCTTATTTTGATATTTATATTATATTATTAAATCATAATTTATTGGAAGTAAGCGGTTTTAACATTCTTATTAATTTGTATCTACTTAATAATAATAAATTTAAAATTTAATATTTTCTGAGTGAATATAATATAATTTGTTTTAATAATTTTAAATTCTAATTATATTTTTTTTGCCTTAAAAATAAATTCATTGAATATTTAAAATCAATTTCATTGATTTTCATAGTATCATATTAATCTATTAATCTACATTAAAGGCATGATGATTTTATTAATATATATATTATACATAATTCAATCTTATTATGACAAGGGGGGAGGGCATGACATCAAAATATTAAAGGGGGCATGTACCTTCAAAAGTTAAGAATTCTTGATCTAGGGTTATCCAATTATTTTTTATCAGATATATTCTATTAAGTCCTAATATTTGGATTATATGTGTATTTAAATTAATAAATAGAAACATTAATCATTGGGAAGATTTCTCAATTCTATCATTCAAGTTATATAATCTTATATTTGTTCAAAATTACTTAATTTTTGATTTTATCTTTTGTAAAAAAAAAAAAAAAAACTTGAATACATTTTTGTAGATTTTAAGCCAAATGTAGTATGAATTAACTTTTATTATTAAATGTAACATCTTTAATAATTATAAAAATTGAAATATAATTATAAATACATTTTTTTTTTAGCCGAAACGTAACTGGCAATCATATGGGTTTGAAACTGATGATGAGACGAAAGACTTAAATGCTATGCATGCAACAGGATTTTTTTCAATCACTCTATGTATAGTTGGTGGTATTTTTATGTTTGCGTATATGCCTGACTATAACAATAAAAACTGGGCGGAAAGACAAGCTTTTCTTGAGTTACGAAGAAGAGAAGATCAAGGTTTACCACTTATTGATCCTAATTACATACAACCAGAATTGATGAATTTGCCCAGCGAAGAAGATTTAGATGACCTTGAAATAGTAATTTAATGTTTTTTATGTATGTTATTACAAAAATGCCAATTTTCATGTTTAGTAAATAGAATAATGTAATTTTCAATTAAATGAAACCAAGAGTTTTGTTGTATAATAAAAATGTTTATTTTCCAAATCTACTGACCAACAAGTTGTTTTATTTTTCTTTAAAATGATATTTTCTATGCTTTATCATATGATAAATTTCTGTAAAAACTAATCCACATATTCCACATGTAACCAATTCATTTATGTTGTGTAATTCTCTATGTTGTTTTAATGTAGCTAATTCATTAAATATATTATCACAAAGAACACATTTGAATAATTGTTCACCTTTATGTATTCTAAAATGAATATCTAAAGCACATCTGAAATATTTAATCAATTAATATTTATTAATTTTAATATGGCAAATAATAATATTATAATTACCTTGTGCGAAATTGATTCATACATACGCCACACATGTATCTCATTGGACCATTTTTATTCATACATTCATTATAGCTTTCCGGATCATCTACAAAATCTAATTCTGGTTCCCACATCATTCCTATGATATCATTGTCGACTGAATGAGAGTTTCTGTCTTTTAACTGTTCTAAATGTACATTTGTCGAGTTAAATTGGTCAGATTTATTTTGGTTAATATGTACCAAAAAATCAAGTAGTGTGTTATTTTTAGATTCATTTTTCTCAAAACCATAAGTCTTATTTAATGAATTCATTATAGCTGCATCTATTTTAGCTCTAAAAAAAAAAAAAAAAATTAAAAAATTGTAAAATTAAACAGAAATAATACATACCCATAATCTAAAGAAACTTCGTGATTATAAATCTTACTTTGGTTCATGGTTTGTGAATTACATAAGTACATTCGCGTCAGAGCCAAGTTTCAAAACTAAAATAGGTGTCAGAAGTGTAAGAGTTTCTACTCCTTTTTGGGTAATAAGTTATCATCTGTCACTAAATCGAATCCCAATAGGGTTAAAATAACGGTCAACCATGACAAATTTTATCGTTTTAAATTATTCTTTCTCTCAAATCTTTTGAATCATGAAACGTTTCTTTTGAAAATATAACAATAGTTTAGGGTCAGATAATATTTAAACCTAACACCAGTAAGACGATTTTCATTGTTACACTCACACTTATAAAATTGTTTAAAATAGGTTCTTGTGTTGTTCACTTGCTGTCAGGGATAGGGTTATAAATATTGACAGTCTAAAATAATGACAATAACGATAGCATTTAACTCTGTGAACTCGAACATAAGCGTGCGGAGAGATTCAGATTAAATTTAGGTACAAGGCCTACAGTAAATACTTTTATTGACCTAATTTCGCTCTTACATACCGCCCCCAAATATAATATTTTTTAACTTACATATTAACGTAAGTAACTTATAATTTTACTCTTACAATGAAATACCTACCAAAGTATTAAATAAATTAGTAAGGTCTATTGAATAAAATGTACCAATAATATAAATTTATAAAATTTATTATTATAATAGAGCTCAAGAATTCTCCATAGAATAGAATTAACACACGTCCCGGTACATCGGGACCAAGGTGGATATATATGATGGACCAGCTCAAAAAAAAAACCTTATAAATTACTTCAGCTATTTTCAACACTAGAACACATTGTTATCAATTGGTATCCCATGTAACGAATGAATAATATAGAAACTAAGTGATTTGAACATTATTTTGCATTATTTTATTTTATTGATGACAAACAGCAATTTACAAAAAAATTTAGATAAGTAAGCACAATAAATTAAGATGAGAAAATAATAGAAATTAAATAATTTTAACAATTCTAAAACTAAAGAGAATAAGTACTCGTACAAAAAAAGTAACCGAAAATTAAAGTTGTTAAGTAAACAGGTTATAGAAAAAAAAAATTCTTAGATATAAGATTTAATAGGTAGCATTACTGATACAAAGCATGCGGTGTAATTAAATAAGTTTAGATATTTTTGTTAATCGCTTTTCGGTATTTTTTTTAGTTTCAACATCTTTATTTTTTGTTTACGTGCAAAAATCATTCTTGTTGTCAAGTAAAACTTGGTAGTATGTTTGAAAAGTTAAAATTTATATTCATCACAGCCAACTTTTGGATAGCCACGACTCATAATTTCATCTAAAATTAAAAAACAAATATACTAATTAGTATCGTGCGAATTATTAAGGAAAGAAAATTTTGTACATTCCTTGACTTACCATTTTTCTTTTTGTGTACATTATATTGTACACGAGTTTTTTTTTTTTTCAAACAAATTTCATGTACAGAAATGTGTACACGTCTGTACTGATATAATATTGGAATTAAATATTGTGGCGCCTAGGACCAGTTTTGTCTACTCAGCGAAATTAGGAAATGGATATTTCTTATTTAATTCAAGTTTTTATTTTGAAAAAGAAGTTTTTGCAAATTATCGCTTAAAATTTGTTGGACAGTACAAAAATATTAGCATATACAAGTAGGGAGATTTGTTCGTGTACAAAATAATGTGCACATGAAAGTCAACCTGTTAAAAATATTAATAATAAAAAAGTACAAACAAATATATTATATACTCGTATTTTATTCATGAATAATATTATAAAATAAATGTTAAAATTAAAAATAAATAAACTTATGCAGGTGGCCAAAGTTGGATACATCTTTCAGTATTTCCTCAAAAAAATCCATCCGTTTAATTTAGAGCGTCACATAAACTCTGCCGAATATGAATTGAGGAAGCATAGACGGATATTTGGTTTCATCTGTGGGGGGCTTAACATTTTTGTTTTATTCATTAATGGAAACAAATATTTTTATTCGATTCCAACGCTTCCACCTACTAAAACTGTAGTGGCTACTCCTACTTGATTCTAGCTGAGGTACCAAATATATGCATATAGGTAATAAGAACATAAAAAAATAAAATATTGAATAGCTACTAAATTATTTTTATTTGAATTGTACATACCTACTTTTTTGTAGGTATACATATATATTCAAATATATTAACAATTGTTTCAGTATTAATCAAGTGGAGGAACTTATAGGAATTGTTAAAGCAACTTGAAATAGCTTATATAAATTAGGGAAAGTCTGTTTTGTTAAAACCTTATTCACATAATTTAAATTTATATAATTTTCATCAGTAAAATGCAATATACAATTCTTTGCCACTTCTATTTCTGACTTTAATACATTTTTAGATACATTTATCAAATCATGAAAAATATACAAAATACAAGTTCACTTTTAATAAAACTAGACAACTAGAGCATAGGTAAGTAAAAATTAATTTTCAGATACCGATATAATACTTACTCTATAATGAATTATTTATAAAGAAGACTTTCCTCAAAGTTTAATTGAAAAAATTGATCAACAGCTGTAGCTATTTGAAAGCTTTCAGTAGATAATCTTTTTTCCAGATTTATCAAGATAGCATCAAATACAAGAAAGAAAGTATTTTTTCTAAAATAATCTTCAATGGTTTCAATGGTATCATTAATATTTTTTTCAGCACTTATGGTTGCAGTAGTATCAAAATGTTTAAGATTGTGTGGCTCTTGTATTTTTCTTTTGCATCCTAGTTAAGTAAATATTAACTTAAAATTATTATAATTATAAATAAATATAATATGTTTATTAAGTCTTACCTTTAGATGAAGTTTGTATTGATATTTCATTGTCTTTAGCAAATATTTCTATTTCACACCAAAGCTTAGAAAAATACTCTGTTCTAGAATTTTTAAAAGTCATCATCACACTTACAATAATACTTTTAGATTCCACTAAGGTTGCATTTTTTTCTTGAAATTTGTCAGAAACAATATTAATATTAATTAATACTTTATGTAAGATAAATAAATAAACTATAAATCGTCCACCACTTTTTAAATTTGTTAATATACCTAAAACAAAGATATTGGAATTTAAATACTTTGAATAATTAATTATTACTTATTATATAATACAAATTTCTTCATTTACTCATCTATCATCTTTATTTTCAATTTCTTCTTCTAAAGCTTGAATAATTACTTTATAACTGTTTTTAACAGACTCTATATTTCGATAACGGCAATTCCATCTAGTGTTACTAGGTCTAATCATTGTCGTATGTTTTATTCTTGTTTAATTTGAATCTCAGTTAATTTTTGATTTTTTGACGGATGAGAAAAATGTACAGGGATTCTAAAGTGTTGAACACATGCATTGTTTAATAATAAAAATATAAGTAATAAATAAAATCATGAAGAACTAAGACATAGGTTCTTAACCCGGGGTCCATGGACCCTTTGGGGGTCCGTAGATGACTACTCGGTGGTCCACGGGGTGGCTGTGAGTTTTTTTGAAATGAGCCAAAATAAATTTGTTTTGATAGTATTTTTAAAATAATTATGATTGTTAAAACATTCGAAAGCCATTTGAAAGACAACAATGTTTTTAAATATAAAACTTAGATTATGATAATCTTATATGCCATAAAAAGCTATCGTAATCGTAAAATGATATAACATGACAATACAATCTAACGAGCAGTTCAATTTAACACTGAAACCTATCTCTTCTGTTGACCCGTTGCCGTATAATAAAAATTATATTTATTTACCTATACATATATTTTTTTTTGCAGGGGGGTCCGTGATTTTATTTTACGCTTTAAAGGGGTCCATGACTAAGAAAAGGTTATGAATCTATGAACTAAGATGTATATAAATATTCATTACCTATACAAATGTACACATGCCAATTACAATGAGGTTCATTTTATGAGCCATACAATGGGTATAAATAGCGTAAGGATATTGATTTTTTATTTTATTTTGTAGTCCATTAAATTTCCCAGACATAACATTTGCACCGTCATATGACTGAGCAATTATTTGTGGCTTAAAACTAAGTTTACACTTTTTCAGGTACCATAATATGTATTATATAAACTTTCAGCATCTTGATTTTTAGAACAATCTATAACAATACACCACTCTCCTCGTCGTAAAACCCCAGGTTATAACTTAATCACATCTGAAGTAGCTGTAAAACTGCCCAAAAAAGACTTACTGATGCTCACGTATATATATATATAACTCCATGTTGAGGCTCTCGTATTTCCCAGTCCTATGGAAGTTTTCTGTAATCATCATGATTCTCAAACCAGGGAAACCACCAGATTCACCTAAATCATACAGACCAATTAGTCTTCTTCCGCTGTTCTCAAAAATCTTTGAAAAAATTATTCTTAAGCGCATCCTGCCCATTATTGAATCTAATCTACCCAACAACCAATTTGGATTTCGACATAACCATTCAACTATTCACCAGATCATCACCTTTTTGATAACATCTCTTACGCTTTGGAAAAAAAGCTAATATGTACAGGTGTATTTCTTGACGTGGCACAAGCCTTCGACACAGTCTGGCATAAAGGTCTCCTCCTTAAGCTTAAAACTTTTCTCCCCCCTTATTACTATTTAATGTTTAAATATTACCTTCTAAACAGACACTTCTCTCAAATGAATCCAAAAAATGAAATCATTTCTCTGTTCGTTCAGGATCTGCCATATCCAAAATATTTCCGATCTGTGCTGGCATCCCCGAAGGAGTAGTCGCAGCTCCACTACTGTTCAACCTATTCATCTCTGACCAATATATCACTGTCCATACAACTACTGGGGACTTTGCCGATGACAAGGCACTCCTGGCTCTCCATTCAAACCCTGAAACGGCCTCAAACTTTATCCAAAACCACCTTAATATCTTATCAATATGGTATAAAGATTGGGAGATAAAAGTTAATAAAACCAAATCCGTCCACTGCACGTTCATGCTTCGACAAGCTGTTTGCCCTCCTGTGTACTTAAATCACCTCCCGATCCCATCTACCTAAAATGTTCGCTAC